AAAAAAAAAAAAAAAAAAAAGAAGAAGAAGAAGATTTTTAAAAACAAGTCCTTGCTTTCAATCTACTTGAAAAAAATAGTAACATTCTGGCTTAAAACCGCAGTTGCCTGTAGGGACAGCAGCCGAGGAAACCCCTTCTCCTCTAGAGTCACAGTTAAATTCTCTGACAGCTCGTCAACTTGGCAATCAAACAAATGTGTTTTAAGTCATCAATGAACAGCAATGGATAGCAATGATCTCTGAGCTCCGTGTGACACTGTGGCAGATTCATAGGAGAATCCTGAGTTTTCTGGAGGCCTTCAAACCAGAGGAAAGTGAACCAGAGGGGTTTGGAGAACCCCTCCCCCAAAACAGGCGCCGTTAGGAAGGATTCGACCTCGGCAGGGTCAGAATCCGTCCGTTTTTCTTGCCCCCGTTCATGTGGGTGTAAGGGATGTGGTCCTCGTAGTTCCGCTTGAGGCCCAGCGAGGACACTCCATCCCGGCCCCCGGCCTCTTCCCTCTGTGAGTGTGAGGCCCGATCCAGGGGGACACTCTCCATGTCCTCAAACTCCATTTCCAACTCCTCACTCTCAGGCGCCTTGTTCTCCTCGCTGTGGAAGAAGGAAACTTCCGGAAAGCTGGGGTGCAGGTCGTCCTTGAGCAGGTCAACGATCTCCAGGAAGGTGGGCCGCATCTTGGGATTGAACTGCCAGCACATGTGCATCAGGTCGGTGCTGCAGGACAGAGGGACGCGTCAGGAAGGAGTCCGGGGGATCCAGCCATGCAATCCCCACTCCCACCCTTGTCCCGGCGGGCCGCCCCCACAGATGACAAGTACCAGCACCAGACGGTGGCCACCAGCGCAGGCAACAGTCAAGACAGAAACAGCATTTCTACCGATGCTAAAAAAAATGGTTTTGGAAAGACAGCCAAAGGGGCTGCCTCATTCCCAGGGCAGATCAAGAAGGGCCCCTTCTGACACAGCCACACGTTGAACAAGGTTTATAAATTTTATACATTCCTGGTTTTTGTAAACTTTAATTTCTACTGGGGCTGCTTGAAAGGCTTCCCTGTGCCAGTAGGCAATCTTTCTAGGGCCAGAGATCCCTCAGGATCTAGATGCTTGAGGCCTGATGGGGCATCAGGAGGACCAGCCGTAAGCAGCCATCCTGCAGGCCCAGCACTCATGCGCTCCAGGGCGGTAGCAGGGGGGGTTACAACCTGACTCAGCCAAGAGCACACAGGGCAGGTGCCGAGGGCCTGGGATTTCCATTTTTCCTCTTCCTCGCCCCGCTGTAATTTCTAAGGCAGGGGTTGGCAAATTTCCACCCTCGGAATAAATGTGGCCCCCTGAAGTGTTTTTGTAAATAAAGTTTTATTGGCACACAGCCACACCTGTTCATTTACGTACTGTTGATGGCTGCCTTCAGTCTATACGCAGAGTTGAGTAGCTGCAACAGAGGGCCACACAGCCCACAAAGCTGAAAATATTTACAATATGGCCCTTTGTAGCGAGTCTGTGGACCTCTACCCTAGGGCCTACTCGATTTCCCTGGTCCTGGAACTACAGCCAGCTGCTTACTGGCATGACTTAGTGAAGGACTTTCATGAAGCAACGTCTCGAAATACTTTGCTCAGAGTTTCTGAACAACTCTGCTTCGTTATCTTTTTCCTATGAGGTCCCTTGCAACTGGGTTTTCTAAATTAACGTCATTTTTTTCGGGGGATGAAGTGTCAAAATAGCCTTTCCCCCTTCAGGAGGGAAAACTTTTTCCAAAGAAACACTAATAAAGGACTTTATATTTAATAGATGTTCATTGTAGAAATAAAACACCAAAACACAGAGAAAATACAGCTTGCATACAACTTCCCTTCAGATCTAACCTCATTTTTCTATCTGAAGACATTTAGAAGCGCAATACATACTTTTTACCCTTGATATTTAACGTAGGCTTATTCACCAAGTTATAAAATATTTTCATAAAATACGTTGAAATATTCTCAACATATTTTATTTTGGAAAAATAATATTTTGCAAATTTCATTTGAATGGCTACATCATCTTAATTTATAAATTTACTTGGCAATTCTCATATTGTTGGGTATTTAGATCATGTCAATTTTTTTTTGAGACTTTAAAAAACATTGCTTTGAGTAGCTGTTAACAACAGGGGGGTAAGAATGATTATCACCAAACTGTTGTCAGCACTGAGTATTAAAACTCTCTTTTCTTAGGGGCACCCGGGTGCCTCAGTCGGTTAAGCGTCCGACTTCGGCTCGGGTCATGATCTTACAGTTTGTGAGTTTGAGCCCCACCCTGGGCTCTCTGCTGTCAGCATAGAGCCTGCTTCGGATCCTCTGTCCCCTTCTCTCTCTGCCCTCCCCCACTGGTTCTCTCTCTCAAAATAAATAAATTAACTTAAAAAAAAAAAAAACAACCTCTTTCTTTCCTCCTTTCTTCCTTCCTTTTTTTGCTAACTTAGGAAGACGGTATTTCATTTTACTTTATGTTTCTTGGACTCTAAGTGAGGAAGGACAAGTTTGCAAGTGTTTAAATGGCTTGTGCATGTATATTGTCCATTTGGTCCCCTAACAAACATTTACTATTTCTTTTCGGCAAAAAAATGTAAAACAAAAACTGGGGAGTATTGGGGAGATACATAACACATATCCCTGGACCCCAAAATAATTTTAATGTTTATACTTAGGATTTGTTTTTTTCCCCATTCTATTGAGGTGTAATTGACATGCAATATTGTATTCATCTCCTGACAACCCGGTAAGTATATAAATAGACAGTTAAACATAAATACGCCACCCCAGCCACCCAGTTTCCTTCTCCCGTGGTAACCACTGAGGTGGGGTTTCTTGTAGAACCTTCCACACACATGATACGCAAGAAAGCATACCTGTGAAGGTGTGACATGCAAACACGAGCACGTATGTAGATACAACCTGCAAAAAAGTGCCCGTGCCCAGACACAGTGTGCAAACACAACCACCTGTGTAGACATATGACAGCGAACCAAAGGGCACTAATGCCTTTTTAAGGAAGAGCCCGGACGCTGCACACTTACACTCTCTCCGGACAGTTATCAGGTTGGTCCAAATATCCTCCGTCCATGACAAATTTCAACACCTGTTCATTAGACAGGCCTTGGTAAGGTTGTTCCGCCAAGCTGGTGATTTCCCAAAGGACCACACCAAAGGACCTGCCAATGACAGTTGAACGTAGTAACAAAGAAGCCATTAAAACACACACACACACACACACACACACCCCTTCTTCGTCTACTAGAATGGGGTTGGCCAGTTCATTCAACAATTCATCCTGCATCCAGAAACGTCTACATTAGTCTCAGTCGGAACACAGGTAGCTGTGCAAGCGTCCTCAGACATGACATCCCCTTCGTTTTCTTGATTACGAGGCTACGAGGAAGGCAGGCTTTAACTGGCCCCCGCTTGCTGGTCACACACAGGGAACGACCCGGGATTCGGGCCCAGCGCTCTGTCTGCCGATCCGTGCGTGCACGACTCACCACATGTCAGAAGAAGTGGTGAAGACCCCGTCCTTCAGGGATTCCGGTGCCATCCACCGCACGGGGAGCAGACCCTTGCCTCCTTTCCGGTAGTAATCCGTTTCATAGATGTCTCTGGTCATTCCGAAGTCTGACAACAAATGGTTCAACATCGTCTTAACTTTCAGCCTGCAGCCCAGGTGTCTCCATCCTCAGGGCCCCACGCCTCGAAGAGCCCGCAGATGGGCTCACCTGCCCCAGGTGTGGGCTCACCTGCGTGGCGGCCAAATCCACCGAGAATGGATTCTGAGGGTACTTAGGGGGATGTGGAGGGAAAGGATGGGCCGCCACGTAAAGGGAAGGAAACGGAAGCACCAAGTGGTAAGGAAGCAATGTTCCGGCCCGCAGCCTGGGAATCCTGTTTCTAGCAACACTTCCTTCCCACCCACGACCTTGCAGGCTTCCCAAACCAAAGCTTTGAGTCTCTGCAGCCAACCTTCTATTCTCCACTAGATGTGGCTCCACCGCTACCCAGTGCCCAGCTCAAAACCCAGGGTCGGGTCCTCTTTTGACCCACCCCCTTTCCTTACACCCGCATCTAAGACACATCTAAGACCTGCCCAGTCTCCTCCCACATTCCCCTCTAGTCAAGCTCTTCTTCTCCATCACTCCGGCCCCCCCCAGGCCCACGGCCACCTCTCCCCTGCAGGACCTTCCCTCCATCTGGACCCTGGCAGCTCACTGCCCAAGAAAAGCTACATAAGGAGGATCGTGCTGTTCCTTGCTCTCCGTGGCTAATGGGGGACGAGGTCTTTCGGGACTATGAGCAGAATGACATCACTTCCGGCTTCCCTTGCTGATATAAGATAACGTCTTCGGGGATCGTAAGTAGACTCGTGTTACTTCTTGCCTTCTAGCCTCCCTCCCCAGGTCTGGCTCCTGCCTCTCTCCCTCACCTCACATCTCACGCTGCTCTACTCCCCTCTACATTCCTTTTATTCCTATCACATCAGCCATCCTTCTGGCCTCCTGGCCTCACATTTGCCATAACTCCCCCTGGCGTGCTGTCACTCAGGTCAATTCATCCTGCAAGTTTTGGCTGAAACGCTGCCTCCCTACAGAGAGAGGCCTCTCCTCACTATCATGGAGCTCTTTATTTCTTTAGGCTTCATTATCTTGTTTATATAAGCATTCTCTTACGGTTCAGCTTGAATTGCCCCATCCAGTAGAACTTTCTGTGGTGATGAACACGGTCTATGTTCACACTGCCCAATACTCGCAGCCACCAGGCTCAAGGGGGCTACTGATCACCTGAAATGTGGCCAGCGGCAGCCACAGGAATACATTTTTAATTCTACGCCATGTAATTTCAACGTAGATGGCCACAGGTGGCTGGCGGCTACTGGCGCGGGTAAAGACTGCATGCCGAGGGCAGAAAACCCGTGGTGACTTATCCACCATCACACCTCTCGGCTCCTAGTGCGGTGGCTTCCGCCAACAGGGAACACGAATATGATCCAGAGCCGTAAATGAGCGAGTTCACGAGCAAATGCGGTTCCATCACAGTCTGAGGTTCAAGCCCTCTTTGCGCTATTGGAAAAGACCGAACTGCTTGGTCTAGACAACTCCTTCCAAAAATCAAACTGGGCCTGGGCCCCGTGTCTCAAAGCAGAAAGCCGGACAAACCTCCAATTTTGACGGTGAAGTCGTGGGCCACCATGCAATTTCGAGCTGCGAGATCCCGGTGCACAAACTTCTTGGCATTCAGGTACGCCATCCCGTCGGCGATCTCCGCCGCCATCTGAATCATCTCTTGCAGAGTAGGGGGAGGGCGGCCAGGGTTATTCTGAGAATCGAAACAGGGGGTCGTGTGTTCAGCAACGTGGGCTCCTGCGGCCGGGAGCGGGTGCCCTGCCGGGTCCCCAGAGGCAGCTCACCTCAGCCTCCGGCCGCAGGGAGCGGAGGTAGCTCTTCAGGTCTCCGTGAACCATCAGCTCCATCACCACCAGCGTCGGCTGGCCTTTGGACACCACCCCCAGGAGGCGGACCTGTGGAGCAAGTGCAGCACGTGGTAGGGTGAGGGTCTGGGGGAAGGTGTCCACTCATCAAGGTGACACACAGCACCCTCTGTGGTGAGCCCTGGTCTGTCTGGCTCAAATGCCAGGGTCAATGCCTTGCTGGGACAGGGGAGTCGGAGGAAGGAGGGAGAATTCGGGACTCAGGGTCTGGTGGGTAGGGGAGCAGACAGACATGCCTACAGACAGCAACAGCCGAGACAGACACTTGGATATCTCCTTGGTGTCTCTGAGCACATAAGGCACGTTCCCACCTCGAAGCCTTTGCACCTGCTGTTCCCTCTGCCTGGCTCTCTGTGCCCTAACAGGTCCACATGGCTCAGTCCCTCCATCCTTAAGTCTTGGCGCAAATACACCTTTTCCCAGTCCTGAATTCCCAGCCCCCTGACTCTGCTCTCTTGTTCCATTCTGCCATAGCATCAGCCCCCAATGTCTTCCCTAAGGAACTTATCGGTTTTAGGGTCTGCCTCCGCGGCTGTACAGGAAGCTCCATCAGGGCGGGAATCCGATGCATCAAAGAGACGAGAAATGAGGCTTAGCACACAGCCGGTCCCCTTAGCACTAGGCTCCAGGAGAAGGTAAGTGGGAAAGGGTGGGCAGGGATGGGGCGAACACTCATGTGTTTAAGGGTTATAAAGGAGCCAGGAAGAGGGAAGAGACAACATTCTGGAAAGCAACGGGACGAGTCTGGCTCCAGGCAAGGTGGGAGAGGATGAGATTAGAGGAGGGAGAAGGAGGGGGGCCCTCCCCCACACCTTGAGGATACTGCAGAGTGGGGGACAGGCAGGGTCCACACCTAGGGTCCTCCCACCCCGTGCAGGAGGAGGAGGAGGAGGAGGAGGGACAGGGGAGCTGCCACCAGAGGAAGCCTCTGTCTGCTCTGGGGGCAAACGCAGGACTCACCACGTGATGACAGGTGAAGCCCTTCATGACTGAGGCCTCGTTGAGAAACTCGATCCTCTCTCGCAGACTGGCGGACTCGTTGACCGTCTTCACCGCGACGCGGGTCTCCGCCTCGCCCTTGACGATGTCCCTGGCATTGCCCTCGTACACCATGCCGAAGGAGCCCTGCCCCAGCTCGCGCAGGAGAGTGATCTTCTCCCGAGGCACCTCCCACTCGTCCGGCACATACACAGAGCAGGGAAACACTACTCCTCACTTATCTACACAGCATCCTTGACAGACCCCTGGGGGCCCCCCAGCCAACCTCCCACCTGAGCACCCCTGGCAAACATTCGTTAAGTGATTTCTGTGGTCCAGAACCTGTGCCAGGCACCGAGCGTAGAGCCGAGGACAGGACAGGTGTGGGTCCCTGCTCTCACAGAGGGGGACAGCAGAGGCTTGGGAAGGAGCCACTGTCAGCCCAGGGTCCTGGCCGGTAAGTGCCGCACCGAGCCTGCCTCCACATCCTTTCTGTCTGATCTCAGAGCCTCCTGGGTCGGAGGCTGTGGTCTCTGCAAAGGGCCCAGGGGATGGGGACAACTCCGCCTGCCAACCACCGGCATGTGAATGAACCCATCCAGGACCACCCAGCACCAGCTGATCCCCAGGCAGGCTGCAGCCATGTGAATGAGCCCGGATGAGATCAAAGGATTTGCCCAGCTGATCAGACCACAGGTGGCGGACCCACCAAACTGTGTGCTAATAAAGGGAGGTCGTCTTAAGTCACTAAAGCTGGGGTGGTTTGTTACACAGCCAACGATTTGCAGATGAATGCACAAAGACCTCATAAGAAAAGCCGAAATGGTTCCTGCGTCCTCTGCACCCGTTACAGGCTGAATACACCCATGACTTCATTCCTGGAGGGAAGCAGGGCGGTAGGGTGGAGAGGCAGCCCCGAGGTTCAGCTTCCCCACCTCCGGTGTGCGGTAACAATGCTGTCGCCCCAGTTCGTTCCCTCCCGCTCCCGTTCCCGCCGCACAGTTCCACCTGGAATGACCACTAGTTTCTCTGTCGTGATGCTTTGGCATCTAGGCCCTCGACGGCCCTAAAGGGGCTGCCCCTCCCCAGGGCGGCCAGTTCCTAGAGACAGTAAGTGACCTGCCAGTGAGTATACCTTCTGTATGCAAAACAACTAATCCAGAGCCCAAACCATAACCCCTCCCTCTGTGAGGCCCGCACCCTCTGGGCTCTATCCCCTTCCCCTGATCACCCAGGGCCAGGCCCTACACCCCAGAACCCACGGAAATCATTCAAACTAGCCAATCCTCAGTCTTCCCCCGCCTTGCCACGCCTCCCCAAGAAACCACAATAACGGTTCTTGTCCGCGTTCTTTCCATGCTCCCTCTGCCTCTTGCCCGACCCCGGAGCTCCCCTGTGCGGTGCTGCCCCCCCGCCCCCCGTGCGTGTCTTATCAGACCTGATTAAAACAAATCCTGCGGATCCTTAAAAGCATCACCCCTGTATCCCAAGGCAGTATCCTTGGGATCATCGACAACACTCATGCCTTGAAAGTCACTTTTTCTGCTTTTTGCTGCATGAAGCACTTTGGAAACTTGTCCTGCGGCAGATGCTTTCCCCTCTGATGGAACAAGCAAGCCTCATCTCTAGGGGCTGCCCGATGCCCTTTGGTACAATCACGGGAAACACAGGTGTCGGTCCTACGTGACTACCAGATCAGCATCACATCTGTGTTCAGGTGCCACCAACAGCGGATGTGTCCCTGCCACACATACAGCCTCCTGTTCACCCCGTTTTATCCTTCATTCTTGTCTTCCCCACCCCGACCCCCAATGTCTCACTCTGGCTTCTGACTCCCACCTGCCAGTTTGGACGGCAAGTCCGTACATGGCTCTCTGGCTCTGACCCTCGGCGCGGTCTCGGGCACAGGCCGCAGATGCCACAACCCCACAGCTGGGGCACCAGATTCTCAGTCTCCCAGCCCTGCTAGATCAGCCCATCCAAAAGGCGCCAGACAGCAGGTGTCCAGCTGCTCCCAGCAACGGGGTCTCCGCAGCCAGGGACAGGTCTCCAGTGAGCGAGAGGGCTCATCTCAGCCTCCCAGGGTATCAACCCCCGACTTCCACTGGACAGTAATGGGAAAGGGCACTGCAAGGCAGGATTCCGGCCACCCAGAGGTCAGGGGATGGTACTCACCATCACTGGCACTGAGGTACTCAGGGTTTGAAGAAGCATACAGCGGCCCCAGTGGGCCATCCGGCTGCCTGGAAGGGAAAAAGGAAGACATTCCAGCTTGGTATTCTGACGAGGCCTTGGGTCACTCGCAAGGGGGTTACGAGCTCCCCAGTGCAAACGGCAACCCTTACCAGCAGCATCAGTGTAATAATCCTGGATGCAGTCTGGGGTTATGAACGGAAACCCATCAGATGGCTACTGAAGTGCATCAACATGGAACCATCAGCTGTAACTCATGGGCGTCCACGGGACACCCAAGAGCCACTCACCCCTTGCTGTTCTCATCCCAGCTCACGAGAAACAAGTGTTACATTTTCAGGAAATTTGAGAGCAGGTTGTTAATACAGCCATCATTTAAAGTTACAGGGCACAGGTTTACAATGAAATAAAACGATATCAAAAGGAAACTCACCATTTCCTCATTATCTTACTATCATCCGTGACCGTCTGCAGCTTGAAATTGGCCACGGTAGGAATATTTACGTGATAGAAACAGGAATGATACAAACCAAGACTTGATCTATTGTTCTGTTGTTTGTGCAGGCTTAAGAAAGTGATGGCAAAAATGTTACCAATGCCGATTAAGCTTCAAAGTCTGTCAGCGCTGGGGCGCCTGGGTGGCTCAGTCGGTTGAGCATCCGACTTCAGCTCAGGTCGTGACCTCTCTCGGTTCGTGAGTTCAAGCTCCGTGTCAGGCTCTGTGCTGACAGCTCAGAGCCAGAAGACTGCTTCGGATTCTGTGTCTCCCTCTCTCTCTCTCTGCCCCTCCCCAGCTCTCTGTCTCTCTCAAAAATAAATGAACATTTAAAAATTAAAATTAAAAAAAAAAAAAGTCTGTCATCTCCACAGTCATGATATTGCAAACAGAAAAAAAAAAAAACTTAAGAAAATGTTCCTCTGTATTTATTAATTATTACCTGATTGACTGAAGTCACTTGTTCATTGAACCCATACACCTTATTTCATTTTTACCTTACTCTTTTTTTTTTTAATTTTTTTTTTTTTTAACGTTTATTTGTTTTTGAGACAGAGACAGAGCATGAACGGGGGAGGGTCAGAGAGAGGGAGACACAGAATCCGAAACAGGCTCCAGGCTCTGAGCTGTCAGCACAGAGCCCGACGCGGGGCTCGAACTCAGGGACCGCAAGATCACGACCTGAGCCGAAGTCGGCCGCCTAACCGACTGAGCCACCCAGGCTCCCCTACCTTAGTCTTAAATGAAAACAAAATATCAACCAACATCCAGGTTGGAACTATACTCATTCATCACTTGCAACCATAGGTTGGCTATAGATACAAAGGTTCAGGGGGAAAAAATCAACCAAAACATTCGGTGAGAATCAACCAGCTAGAGGGAATTTATGGTAACAAGCAATGTATATTGTGTTATGATCACTGCCTGTAAATTGCATGCTATGCACATCCCTATGACAGTAAAACTTATAATAAACTTAGATACAGCTCTCTCTGTATCTAGGCACACTTTCTTTTCTGGAGAGCTAGTTTTTAACCATTTACCAGCACACCATTGTACCCACCTCTTTCTCAGGAATAGATAAATACTTCCAATCACAACACTGAAGAGAAAGACAAAGATGAGAGGCCCGATGATAATTTTTGCAATGTTCGATGGGACATCTACTGAAATAGAGTAAGAAAACATATGTTTCGCACCAAAATGTATTCACATCACAAATCACACCTATGCCTGTAATGGCGGGCCACACACACCTGCCCCCTCTCTTGTCCCCGAGCCTCTCTGCCGGTCTCCTGGGCCGTTCTTTTCCAGTCATCTTGAATCGCCAGTTGGCTCCATGGGGCTGGGCAGTGGGCTCAGAGGCCCTGACCTCCAGACCACTGCCCACTGCCTTCTCCCTCCCCCCCAGCCCAGGGCCAGCTTCACAGGCACGTAAGCCTGGCCATCACCCAAGTCCCCACACTTGGAAGGGCCCTGCTCCTTAACACTCTGCTGTCGCCATCTTGAAAGTCTTAATAATTTGTAAGCAAACGGTCTTGCGTTTTCATTTTACAGAAATGAAATTTTAATTTGCCCCACAAATTAAATAGCCTATCTTAATCCCAACAGCACCTCCGGCAGATGAAGATTTCACCAGGAAGTGCCCTGTGTGCGCTAGGGGGTCTTGCCCAAACTATCCTTTTAAATCGACCGAAGAAACGTTCTGTTAAACTTGCACGTGAGGCCCAGTTGTCTGCAATTATAAACACGCCCGTGTATTCAGACTCTCCCGAGCCGAGAAAAATGGGTTCTAAGGAATCAGGGAGGGAACCGGGTCCCTGGGCTCCTCAACATCCACAGCGGTTTACTGAACACTTACTAAAAGTACCCGGCGCTATCTGAAGAGCTTTGCACCAGTGTTTTTATTTAATTGTCACATAAGCCAAGGTGGGAGGTGCCGCGACTGAGGCCAGTTAACAGACCGGGAAAAGAGGCTCAGAGACTGGAGGCGGGTCTTGCCCCAAATCCCAGAGCCCAGAGCCCAAATCCACGGCGGGGCAGGGATTTCAACCCGGGCGATCTGAGTGAGTTCTTGACCACTACTCCACGCTGCCTTCGGCGGCCAGCGCTGCCCCGAGGCATCCTGTCTTCCTGTACTGTACCCTTCCCTGAATTGGCAGCGAACTGCCTCATCCCCCCTCCCACAGCTCCTGGCCACAGAAAGTCTCCATGAATATCTGGTGGCCGAACGGGCCATGAGAGATGGACACCTACTGGTCACATGCAGGTGAAGGTCTGCATGTCCTTCCTTCCTGTCCCTTTTTCCTTAGGAACAGGGGAGCTGGAGGCCACCAAGTGGCCAGGACTCACAGTGTCTCAGGACATAATGGGAGAGGCAGGCTGCACCCCGCCAAGCCCACCTCTGCTTCCTGGACACCACGGTCGGGCTCACACTCCGATTCCAGTGGCCACGGGAACCAGGGTGAAGAAACGGAAATTTAAGAACTCTTGCTCTGAGTCACAGAAGGGGAAGGTCAGCCCCTGGGGGTGAGCGCCTCCTTAAAATCTGCACCTTGCTTGCTTGTTATAAAATAAAAAATCACTCAGGGTGCCTGAGCGGCTCAGTCAGTTAAGTGTCCACCTCCTGATCTCAGCTCAGGCCGTGATCTTAGGGTTCGTGAGTTCGAGCCCTGTGTCGGGCTCTGGGCTGATAGGGCAGAGCCTGCTTGGGATTCTGTCTTTCCTTCTCTCTGCCCCTCCCCCACTTGTGCATTCTCTATCTCTATCTCTCTCTCTCAAAATAAGTAAACTGAGAAAGAAAGAAAGAAAGAAAGAAAGAAAGAAAGAAAGAAAGAAAGGAAGGAAGGAAGGAAGGAAGGAAGGAAGGAAGGAAGGAAGGAAGGAAGGAAGGAAGGGAAAAAAGAAGGGAAGAAAGAAAGAAAAAAGAAAAGAGAGAAAGGAAGAGAAAAGGAAGTTAGGAGGAAAGGAGGGAGAAAAAAATCCTTTTTAAGTAATCTACTGTGTTAGTCATGTAACTCTCCAGACTTTTTGCTATCTCTAGTAACGCTGGGCTACCTTTCCTTGAGCATGTATCTTTTTTGGACATCCCTGATAATTTCCTCAGGATAAATTTCTAGAACCAGAACTGTTGGCTCCGATAGAGCTTTAACAAAATATTTGATACGTATTAATAAAGAACATCTATGTGTCTGCTCTCAGACAACGCTAAGCACTATAATTAAAAAGCAGAGGAGGGTACTTGTTGTGCTGAGCACTGGGTGTTGTATGGAAATGATGAATCACTGAATTCTACCCCTGAAACCAATATCGCACTGCATGTTAACTAAAATTGAAATTAAAAAATATATATATTCATATTAAAATATATTTACATATTTATGTTTATATAATATGTTTATATTTAAAAATATATATTTGTATTTTTAACAACCCAGAAACAAAAAGCCTTACCAATTTGATAAGTTAAAAATTACGTTTTGTTTTAATTTGCTCTTGGGGGGGGGTGTGGTTTTGAGGTTGGACTTTTTTCCTTATATCTTCTATCTTTTCTATTTCTTTTTAAATTGGCTATTTATGTTCTTTGCATATTCTTGTGTGTGTGTGTGTGTGTATTACTCATATACTATATGGATATTCATTTGATAGTAACTCTTTGTCAATGATGTTACCAATGTTTTTCCCACTTTGATATTTTCCTTGGAATTTTATGCATGGCATCCCTGGTTCTTAAGAGAGAGACCCCAAATCCTTGAGCTGACCTGGGTAACAGGAAGTGTCTTTGTTATTGACGAGCCCCTGGGAACATACCTGAGCTTATGCTACGAGATGGGCTGACCCAGGACTGGGGTTGGTCACCAGCAGACCAAGCATGTGATCAGAAGGCTGGGACTTGAGCCAGCCTGACCTCCAGAGTACGGAGGGGCCGGGGAAGGACTTCTATCACACAACCAACGATGTGATTGGTACCGCCTGCGTAATGCAACTCTCAGCACCTTAGCTCAGAGGAGCTTCCTGGCTGTGAAGACAGCCACATGCCAGGAGGGTGATGCAACACGTCCTGATTCCAGGGGGAGGAGACACAGCTCAGTGTCCTGGACCCTCTCCTATGTGTCTCTTCATTTGCGTGGTCCTCACCTACAGCCTTTATAAGAAAACCGTCCTTGTAAGATGGCACTTGCCTGAGTTCTGTGAGCTGATCCAGCAGATGATTGAATCTGGGGGGGGGGGGGGCATGGGAAGCTCTGAGTTTGTTGCCAGTTGGCCAGGAGCGTGGGGGGCTTGGAGAACCCCCAACTTGCATCTGGCTTTGGAAGGGAGGGCAGTCTTGCTGGGAACCCTGCTCCTAAGCCGGCAGGGTCTCTGTGAACTCTTACCAGGCAGCATCAGATTCACCGTGTAGCCCTCCCAGCTGGGGTCAGGATGCTTCTCCCCGCCCTGACCCCGGCCAGAGCCTTCCCACTCTCCGAAGTCCACCATGCCTGGGGTGTGAGAATCCAGCCAGCCAAGCAGAAGGCTTGTCTCACTCCTCCCACCCAAGCTCCCGCTCCTCCTGGTCTAGAATCTCCCCTCCTTCCAAGTTATTTGTTTGTTCACTCATTCAAGTGTCTGGGCTCCTGCCATGCATCTCAGGATAACCTTCCTCTTTTGTTCCCACTTGTACATTCTTCCAGGTCTTGGTCAAGATGTCACCACCTCCAGGAAGCCTTCCCTGATCAGCTCAGCCTTCCCCACCCTCCCACCTTACTGTGCTCACCCAGGGGCAGCACTTACTGCCTGCACATCAAGAGCACATCTGAGACCAAGTAGGTGAGTTCCCCCATCCTCCCTTGGAGGACACAGCCCATCTAGAAACAAATACTGAGGGGCGCCTGGGTGGCTCAGTCGGTTAAGCATCCGACTGCAGCTCAGGTCATGATCTCATGGTTCATGGGTTTGAGCCCCGTGTCGGGCTCCATGCTGCCAGCTCGGAACCTGGAACCTGCTTCGGATTCTGTGTCTCCCTCTCTCTCTGCCCCTCCTCTGCTCACACTCTGTCTCTCTCTCTCAAAAGTAAATAAACATTAGAAACAAAAACTGAGACCCTAGTAACAGGAGCTAATGTGTTAATCAGACATGCCCTGTGCCAGCCACTTGGCATTCATAATGCCACTGAAACCTCCTTTTGTTTCCAGGGGGATCCTCTTATTATCCCACGGTCAGATGAGGAAGTGCAGGCTCAGAGAGGGCAAGCACCCTTCCCAGGTCACACAGTAGCAGCCGACAGACCCAGAGGTCAAGTCCAGGGCCGGCAGGTGTAGCCACTTCCCCGACCATCCTCTGAGACGTTCCCCAGAGCAGACCCAGCCAGAGTTGCCGTGCACACTTACAATAGTCTGTCACATAGAAATAAGTGGCTTCTGTCCAGGAGCCGTTGCCCGCCAGGGAGGTGGCCCGAACTCGCACACTGTAATTCCCCGGCGGCAGCCCTCGCAGCCTGCAGCCCCGCTCCAGAGCAAAGTGTCTACGGGAGACACAGAGGTGCAGCTCCTGGAAGACAGGGGAGGAGAGAGGGCAGGTGTGGGGGGTGTCCATCCCCTGGCAGGAATGTCAGAAATGACACAGAGGAGGGGCGCCTGGGTGGCTCAGTCGGTTAAGGATCTCACGGTTCGTGAGTTCGAGCCCCGCGTCGGGCTCTGCACGGACAGCACGGAGCCTGCTTGGGATTCTGTCTCCCTCTCTCTCGGCCCCTCCCCTGCTCTCTCTCTCTCTCTGTCTCTTTCTCTCAAAATAAATAAAAATGAACTTAAAGAAAAAAAGAGATGACACACAGTGAGTAAGGAACAATCACTGGGCAACACGCGTGAGCGACATTAGGAACCTCGGAATCTCAGCGCCCCAGTTCTTGGGATAAGGAAGCAGACACAGAAGCTATCGTTACCGATGACCCTTCCTGAGCCACAAGCCAAGCATTTGACCTGGATCGTGTCATTTCCTTCTTACCCCACCAGGGCTTAGCCTCTTGTTACAGACAGGAAACAGAGGCTTCGGGGCAGAGGTCGGCAAACTTCGGCTATAAAGGGCCAGACGGTCAATGTGTACGGCCTCAAGCGGCCACTCACTGTGACCCACTCAACTCAGCAGCCAGGGACCACTCCCAAATCAGTTCGCGTCCGTCCACAGACAGGTGTGGCTGCGTGCCCACGGAGCCTGGTGGACGCTGAACGCCGGACTCCACGTTAAGTGGACACGCGTCATGACGTTACTCTTCTCTCGATGTTTGGAATTGTTTTCCCCAACCATCTTAAGACGTGAAAGTGATTCTTTGATCTCGGGCTGTACAAACAGGTGTACAAAAATAGTGGGCCGACCCCTGGTTGAAGAGACAAAATGCTGTGGGGAGGGGGGGGGGATCTCGTGGCTGGTAAGTGGCAGGACCAATCCTTCAATCCAGAACCATCCGGCTCCCAAACTCTACAAAACCACCGTGGGACGTTGTCACCAGGCCTCCAGAAAGTCCGAGAGGGCCGGGAAAGAAAACACCTACATCACCTAAATCGAATTTCAGGCTTTGCCCCACACCCCCTGGTCTCAGAACCAAACACATGCGTGGGCTTAATGTCTTAAGGACAAATTTTAAAGCTCCTTCCTTCCCAGGGTGCAGCCTTTTGATTTGATTTGATTTGATTCATTGTACCATTACTAAAAGAGTTGGGATCTCCCCAAATCTCTGAAAACAGAGAGGAGGTAAGTAAAGCATACACACCCCAGTGATAACCACATAAACAGAGATCAACCCCGAGCTTACTGGGAGAGGTACGAGGCTCCCTGGGAAAATGAGACCATGAAACCTGCACGCATCGGGCCAAATATTAAAAACTTTCCAAAACAGCTCCAAGTTAATAGTGCATGCAGAGAGCTGGACTGGAAAATTTTAGCGGGGAGAGAAAGAAATGTAAAAACCCCCGTGCTTATCATGTGACAATAACAGCAAGAAAACAGATCGGGCCGGATCAGGCTGGCGGCAGGGGCGGGGGCTCTGGTCCAAAGGTTCTTCCAAGTAGGATGAGTCACCAAGTAGAAAGGGACAAATAAGCAAATATAGAAACCAAAGGTAGCTGCTATCCGGGACAAAGGGGAAATGCATCCTCCACGACCGGCCACGGACCCCAGGCACTGCAAGGGGTGTGCTGGAAGGAACCAGAAGCTTCAGGCAGCTGTCTCCACAGACACCAAGAAACAAAAACAAAAAGCGAGACAGGACACAAAAACCTGATAAAGAGCAAAGAAGCCAATGACGTAAAAGTCTGTGCGAACAAGAAGAAAAGCTCAAAACTGAAAGATACTGACACAAAGGAAGGAGCCCGCCACCATGAAAAATCCATGCTCCTCCCTGGCAGGGGTGGTCCTTGGGGCCAGGGTCTCCCGGGGCGGAGAGGGGACACGGTAAGAGGGTGAATGACTTGGATTCAAGGCCCAAGGAGACAGAGATTCAAGAATGATGCAGCTGGGGGTGATGTCAGCTATTCAACTAGCAAATACAAAAAAATCCCCCAAAAAACAAAAAAGAAAAAAGAAAATGACCTCCCACCAAATGCCGGAGAGAATTTTGCAGGACTGGCAAAATCATACCATAACAGTATAGATGGTGTTTAAAAAAAAAAAAAAAAAAAAAAAAAAAAAAAAAAAAAAAAAGTTTTACATTATTTTCTCACTTGATTTTTTTTTAAAACATTTATTTTTTTTTTTAATTTTTTTCAACGTTTATTTATTTTTGGGACAGAGAGAGACAGAGCATGAACGGGGGAGGGGCAGAGAGAGAGGGAGACACAGAATCAGAAACAGGCTCCAGGCTCTGAGCCATCAGCCCAGAGCCTGACGCGGGGCTCGATCTCACGGACCGCGAGATCGTGACCTGGCTGAAGTCGGGCGCTTAACCGACTGCGCCACCCAGGCGCCCCAAAACATTTATTTATTTTTGAGAGAGAGACAGAGCATGAGCAGGGGAGGGGCAGAGAGAGAGGCAGACACAGAATCCGAAGGAGGCTCCAGGCTCCGAGGTGTCAGCACAGAGCCCGACGCGGGGCTCAAACTCACAAACCGCGAGATCATGACCTGAGCCGAAGTCAGACGCTTAACCGACTGAGCCACCCAGGGGCCCTGTATTTTCTCACTTTATTAAAGCAATGCAAGGTAATAAGGGAAAATGTTGGAGATAATCCACCATCTTGTCTATGAAAAGCTTTTGTATTTTTTTTAATGTTTATTTTTGAGAGAGAGAGAGAGAGAGTGTGTATGAGCAGGGGAGGCGGGGGCAGAGAGAGGGAGACATAGAATCCGAAGCAGCCTCCAGGCTCTGAGCTGTCAGCACAGAGCCCAACGCGGGGCTCAAACCCACAAACTGTGAGATCACGACCTAAGCCAAAGTCAGACGCTTAACCCACTGAGCCACCCAGGCACCCCTAAAAAGGTTTTTTAAAAGATGGTTGTAATCTCTCAGTCTCTCTTATTTTTCCCCGTCTCTCTGTTCCCATAAAGGGCAAATGGGGCCAATTTGTCTGGGATTGGTGTGGGGCCATGTGGGGCAGAGGCTCTGGTGGGGATTCGCAGTGGGGATTCCTACTGGTGACCGCTGGGCTCCAGGAACAGGGGAGGCGATCCAGCCACAAGAAGCTGGGAGAATTTAGGGTTAGGTCCAATGCCAACAGGGTAACCGACTGCCTCAGTTTACCCAGGACCAAGGGCTTCCTAGAATGTAGGTAAACTCCAGGCAAATGGGAAAAGACTCAGAGCAGCAAGAAGAAAATCAAGGAGGGACTGCGTTGCAGATATCTTGCTCACTGCACAGAATCCACATTCTCTTCCTCGCTGCCAGCAACATCCCCAACTTCCTTGGGAAGCCGCACCTCCCCCTTGAGGGGCTCTTGTCTGCCACCCTCAACCCCACCCCGGTTCCAGGACTGACCCTAACTGCCTGCAGCTGCCCCAAGCGGAAGAGCCCCATGGGTTCGGGGAAGAACACAAAACTCAGGCCCAAATGAGCCATCCAAGAAAACGCAAATCGCGACCACGGTGAGATACCATTCACACGCACCAGCATGGCTCTTCTCCGAAAGACAGCCCAGAACAAGTGTTGGCCACCAATGTGGAGAAACTGGAACCCTCAGACACTACTGATGGGGATAGAAAATGGTGCAGCCCCTTTGGGAAAGAGTGGGCATTTCCTTTAAAAGTTAAATGCAGACACGGGGCGCCTGGGTGGCTCAGGCAGCTGAGCGTCTGACTCTGGCTCAGGTCACGATCTCATGGTTTGCGGGTTCGAGCCCCATGTCGGGCTCTGTGCAGACAGCTCGGAACCTGCAGCCTGCTTTGGATTCTGTGTCTCCCTCCCTCTCTCTCTCTCTCTGCCCCTTCCCCACTTGTTGTTCTGTCTCGCTCTCAAAAATAAACATAAAAAAATGTTAAGTTAAATGCAGAGTTAGCACAGAACCCATCCCTTGATATGCACCCAAGAGAACTGAAACCATACGTTCACACAAAAACTTGCACATCAGTGTTCTGACCAACATTATTCACAATGGCCATATGGTGGAAACAACCCAAATGTCCATCTACAGATGAGTGAATAACAAAATGTGGTCCATCTATCTGAAACCAGTAACAAAAGGCCATATATGCTATGATTCATTTATAGGAAGTACCCAGAACAGGCAAATTCACAGAAACAGAAAGCAGAGAACAGGCTGGAGGGGAGGCAGGGAAGATTGGGGAGGGGGAGGGGGGGAGGGTCTTTTTAGGGTGATGAAAATACTCTGAAATGGGTCATGATGATGGCTGTACAACTCTGTGAACTACCAAAAACCACCGAATTGTAGGGGACCCTGGTGGGCCCAGTCAGCAAAGTGTGAGACTCTTGATTTCGGGGTGTAAGTCTGAGCCCCATGCTGGGTGTAGATGTACAGATTACTTAAAAACCTAAAAAATCCTTTCAAAAACCCGCCATTGAGTTGTAGCTCTTAAACGGATGTATTTTATGGTATGTGACTGGAACACAGTAAAGCTGTTATAAAAAATTTTTTTGAAAAGGAAAAAAAAGAAGAAAAAACAAAAACAAAAACAAAAACAACCTTCATGCCCATGCCTGATGTTACGGCTCCCAAAACTAAAAATACTGTCTGGCCATTGAATTGGAGGGTGTGATGCTACGTGAAATAAATCAATTAGAAAAAATGGGGCGCCTGGGTGGCGCAGTCGGTTAAGCGTCCG